TTTTTTTTTTTCAATGACATTTTTGTGCAGGCTGTTTTGGTTGGGGCTAATTGTTTCAATCCATCTGCGACGCCGAAAGTGAATTTGCACGAGATGGACTGCACGGGCCAAGCCCCGAAACCCAAATCCACTCGCTTTATCTAATTCATACATTCAAGAAAAAAATAAATACGCGGGCCTTAAATCCAACGGGCAGGCATGGGAGGGTGACGACGGAGTACGGAATGTCGACCAAGGGCGGTACCTCACTGGAGGCTGACTTCCCCTGAATTCTGACTCGTACGACATCTATCAGCTGCCTGATAGGAAATGCTAGATGTCTTTTTTTTTTCTTTTTTGATAATGCAAAGCATCATGTGCGGTTGTTACCTCTCTGACCACCGATAAACTCGTCCCTGCAGTCTTGCATCAGCTGCAGGATCCATTTGTGCTGAGCGTAGATACACTGCCATGCCGGGTCACCTGGTGCATGCAGGTCAGACAGGTACCTTCACAAGGAGACAAAAAAAACAAAACATGCAAACCCGTTCAGATTCATATCGCTCCATTTCAGTGGCCGCAAATTGCTTTCTGTGAGACCGGGACTGATGCCGGTCAACGGACACAATTGCAATATGGTGGTTCCTGCACAACAGTAGAGTGGACCTCCACTATTTGCGGAGGACAGGGAAACTCATTGAAATAAAATGAATAAATAAATAACATTTAAAAACCAAAAAAATAATAATAATAATGGAATTCATAGCTAATTATGACCAATAAACATTGAAACAAAGACAAAAAAAATTCATCCTCTGGCCTGCCTCCTTCTAACTGGCACCATCTAACTTGGCTGCGCACTTGTTTCTCATTAGCTAGCATCAACACACACACATACACACACGTCCAGCTATCCACACGAGCGGGACTTGAGCGGAATGAGGATTTGCACGACACACACATACACACACGTCCAGCTATCCACACGAACGGGACTTGAGCGGAATGAGGATTTACACGCGCACACACACACACGCGCGCGCACACACACACACACACACACACACACACACACACACACACACACACACACACACACACACACACACACACAGGCCCAATGCGGTTGAATAAGAGTTGCACTGCTGACTGATTTCAAGCCGGAAAACATCCGCTAAGGAGGAAAAGCATAATTCAAGGATCAACTGCTGATTCATATTACGTTAAGATATCAAAAAAAACAGAAGACCTGATATATCTCTTCTGATCATGTAGTGTTGAGGGAGTCTGCAGCAATTTTTCCAGTAGTAAGCTACGGAGAGCCCTGATCCTCGTTTCGACCTCCGCGTACACTTTAAAGCAGAAAGAGAAAGTAATTATTGACTCTTTTTTGTACTTATACAAATGGGGGTATACGAGCTTACCTTTTTTAAAAACAGGGACCTCTGTATTGCCAAAAAGAGATTTGGCCTTCTCGTAGTCATTGATCACCACATCGTAATCTCCCTGGAAACACAATTAATATGGAAGTCGGCGCAACACGACGTCGTGTACGGTCACACGAACAAGAAATAGGATGACACCTAGCAAAGCATTACACCGTTTATAATTTAGCTGCATACTGCCTCGGACGAAAATGTATGTCAGGAACTCACTACACAGCTCGTACAATCACACTCCCAAAAAACATGACAGAAAATGGATGTAAAGTCGAGTTGTTTCAGAGTTTCTGGCTACCTTCTGGATATTACGTTCAATGTTGAGGGGCAGGTTAAAAAGAAACTTGAAACGCTGCAGGACGTTGAGTGCGTTGCGTGTGGAGTCGGCTTTGTCTTTCCGCCCCAAAACTTCCTGGAAAAGTGTATCAGCGGTGTCACTTGCTCCTATGAACGAAATACAAATAAAGATAGGCTGAGAGCTTCGGCACGCGGGACAAGGCTTGGCCTCTTCAAAAGAGCTCGTAAGAATGAAAGGATGGACGACGACTTTGGTATTGTGCCGGAAGCCTCCTCAAACGTTGTCTCTCATGTGTTGTGAGAACCTGGCTTTCATAGGAAGCGAGAGTTTGCAAGGGAAGTGAACTCAAAGGCCCCACGCTGCCCATCTTTACAATTCATTTTGAGTCTTTGGCGCTTGACTCAGTATGAGCCTTGATTTTGAGTTGGACTGTTGCTTTAAAGGGCTCCAGAAATACAGCTGAGTTGAGAGTTGAAAATCACTTTGCGTTTCTGCGTTTAGGAATGCTCATGCAAAGTTGTCCTTTTTTAGGGTCAGCCATCTATCCATCCATTTTCTAATCCCCTTTATCACACCGTGACACAATTTTTTTGAGTGTTCCATTAAACTGCAATGCATGTTCTTGGGAACGTGTCAGGAAAGCGGCATACCCGGAGAAAAACGAGACAGGGACGGGGAGAACATGCAAACTCCACCCAGGAAGGCCGCAGCCGGAATCGAACCCTGCACCTCTGCACTCTGAGGCCGACGTGATAACCGGTCGACCACCGGGCCGCCCTATTCGGATCAAAATCGTTTCATTTATGGTACAGCCAAACTGTTTTTTTTTTTTCATGGAGAACAAAAAACTGTTTGTGCAAAGCTACAAATAAATATTGTGAAAAGGAAATTTGCCAGATTGGCAACGCAAATCATAACATTTTAGAGGCCCGGACCTTTGCCTTGAGAAATCTCTCGCAACCAGACCCTCTTGAGTTTTGACTGAAGATCCCTGCACTCGAGTGTGTTGGTTTAATTGTGAATGGGGTCGGGGGCGGGGGGCTTACTGTTGAGGATGACTTCCAGGCGTTGGGTCATTGATCCTTCTACTCTTTCAGTACCGTCTGAATCCTGCCTCTGGTGGATAGCTGGAAAACATACGTAAACAATAATGATCAATTTTTTAAGGACGAAAGGTAAATGAATCCAAATGGAGCATTTGAAAGGAGGAAAAAAAATTGCCCCAGAAAAAGTCCCGTGGCCTCTACTTTGCTGACGGTGGTAAACTGGACCCCTTTGTGCGGGCATGACCTTAACCCTCCGCTGATTGATTGAGATCAGTTCATCCAGTCATTCATTCATCCATACATCCATGCGCTGCACCCGCTTATCTTGTTCAGCCAGCTGACTTCACCCGACAGCGCTCGCCATTCAGTCGCAGGGCACACGCAGACAACCGCCCAAACTGGCCTTCACACCGTCACAGAGTGGAGGCAAAGAAGATGACAAGAAAAAAAAAAACCCAAAACACTTTGATCGAGAAGGACAAGGGGAGAAGAAATTCTCGGACGATTTGTGGAGTCCTTCTATGAAGGCGAGGGAATGTGAAGAGGGGGAACGAGGGGACCAAATGGAGAAAGTGAGCGAGCGAGTGGTGGGGCTTAGCCAGAGAATAAATAAATGGTGTGCAGAAGTGGGCCGCTGGGTGCTGAGAGCTGCACTGCGGGTTTATTGACAAAGGGGAGGAGAGTTGGGGAAGGAGGCCTTCGACATACTTGTGAAGCGATTCAAATAGGCAACAAGGAGACATTTTGCATCTGAAGTGAAACGACAGAAACTCATTCCTCTGCCCCGTCTTCCCTTCAAGTACAACATAGACTGTGAGCAAAAGCTTGGCGACAGCCGAGCGAAAGGGCAGTAAAAAAAGACGAGGCGGCGCTTTTCCAAATAAATACGCGGCTCCATTCTGACAGACAGAAGCCTCAAGGCAGAGACTCAAGCTATGCAAAAACATACTATTCGTTTTTTAATCAGGATGGATGTTTCTGGCCCGTTCTTGCACCTCTCCACTGCTTCAAAAATAAAGGCAAAAAATATAAAGAAGGCCAAAAGAAGGCCAATGTGAATCGCATACGTGACGAGGACAACGGCATTGCCAAACTGTGGCCCAGATTTTCATGCGTACGCCGTTTTATTATTATGATTCAAAACAGCGATAATCTTCAAAAATGCTCTTTCGATCGAGCTGAAGTGAAAAAGGCCCTCAATGGTATCACTCCGACAATGCAATCTGAATGACAAAAATACTTTCGAGACCAAAGCAGCAAAGTTCATCAGGTGGAAAAAAAAGAAGGTTTTAGGGAAAACACGTCATTTACCACATTTGAACCGGCAAAAAAAAAAAAAAAAAAAAAAAAAAACTGAAGGGAGTACTCAGTCAACACAAACTAAAGAGGATGTGGTGAAAACGTCTGTACGAGTCTCCTTGAATTAGTGCTACTACCGTATCTAGCGTAATGTGCTGTGTAGACCCACCCTTGCCGGGCGAGGCAGTGACCCTTCGAGCAACTATTTGCTCCCAAAAACTTGAGAGGGGCCTTGTGCCGCCATAGTCTGGCCATGGGGCAAAGTGAAGCGATCCCTTTTGTCGTCAATGGACGCTACAGCTTCTTGTTTACTTTCAAACTTGGCTCGTCGCAGACGTGTGCACATTTTGAGCATGACGACTCTGATCCACTGGTGAAGGGACACTTTGAGTCTCTTCTCTTTCATCGAGAACTGCTTTAGACAACAAGGGGTGTGCAGGAATACGGTTATGATTGCACGACTGTGCACGTTTTATGACTGTATTGTTATTTTATGCGTATATGAAAGTGAACGAGACTAGAAAAGACAAACGCGCAAAGCGAGCAATGTCTTCACAGCCCCCCCTTTGCCCCGTTGCCAGCTGCGTGTCCTCGGCGTGTGTGACACTGAAGGGCCGATGACGTCACACGTAACCTAAACATCAGGTCAAGCTCGGGCTAACGCACTCCGCCGCGACTTGAGGAAGAGCCGCAGCTCCCGCTTCACTTCCTGGAACTATTGAGGACACAAATGAATACGAATAAAAATACAGCGTGGCCGCTTTCTAAAGCTGGAGATGTTTTGACTCCTCGGGGAACTGGCCCTGGGAATCAGGCATTTTTGGAACACGGGAGCTGCTCTGTTTCCTGCACCGCTTGGAGACTTCCTTTTGACACAACAATGCAAAACCTCAAATTTCAACATTTCACTCACAACAAAGCTGGACAGACTCTCAGTCGGTCCTTCTGCCAGAGCAGCTCTGCCTCAGAGGTGTACGTGGCTTCGTGTGAAATTGAGGCCGAGTGATCTTATACTGCCACAATGCCCCAAACCTTCCACTCACCAGGGAGTTAGTATGCGGCATTTCTTTATTTCAGAAGATGCCCTACTGGCATCAGACGGCTGAATGGTAATCTGCCCCTTAGAAGGCAAATAGTGCTAGTTAAGTCAGATGAACATTCGAGTGGCAAAGTACACGTGGAGACTTGGATACTGATTGATTTCACACAGGGTGGATCGAACTTGACATCTGTTCCATCTCCGGTGTGCAGTGTGAGAGATGGACGGTGTTGGAGCGCTTTTGCTGGACGCTCTGTAAACACATTACATTTTTACCAGCACACAATGAAAAAAAATGGGAGCATCTGCGACCATTAACGGTGTTGAGCCCTGACAACGGCACAAAGATCCCCTTCCACAGTGGCTGTCTCGGGCAATATCAAAAGAAAGAAAACTCCATCTACGTCGACAGTCAGGCTGTGACTTCCACCTCTGAAGCTTCAACAATTAGTGTCCTCAGTTCCCAAATGTTTACTCAATGTCGTGAAAAGAAAAAGGTGATGTAACACAGTCGTGAACATGACCCTGTTCCATTTTTTTTGCAACGTGTGGCAGCCATAAAATTCAAAGAAAATGGTTATTTGATGAAAAATAAAGTTTGCCGGTTTGAACATGAAATATTGATCTTTGCAGTGTATTCGATGAAATATCGCTTGAACATGATTTGCAAATCACTGTATTCCGTTTTAATTTCAATGTCCCAAATTCATGGGAATTGGGTTTGTTTAAAAAAAAAAAAAAAAAAAGATCCCACCTGGCTGAATTGAAAGCATATGAACAGGAAACCTGGCAACCTCAAAGACGTGATCGCAATACAAGAACTTAAGGGCCACAAGGGTGGCTATGCACCAGGTGAGGGTTGCGTCGGTCACAAGTTTATTCCCAGCGCAGTCCTTCCTTCAGCCGCGCCGGCTGCACATTTCCCTTTTCGGCAGCGGGCACAAAGTAGGCACGCTCAGTCCAAAAGGCAAGTATGACTGTGCATTGTTCCCATTGGTCATATTGGGTCTGTTATCAGCTTGATCAATCCTAATATTCTGTCGTGCATTGTATTGTACCACTCTGTTTATTTGGACGCGACCCCCCAACTACAAAAACATTGCCTTTCTCCTAAATGGGGCACAAATATACGGAAAGCAATAAGAAGAAGAATGACAGAGGTAGAAAGTGTGCATATATATAGCCCAAGGAAGTAACCGAGTGGCTCGAGAGGAAGACAAGCGTAAACCATCAAAAACGCACAAATGACAAGCTCGGGCTACGTTTACACGATCTTCCCGGCGCCCGTGGCAGCCCTGTTGCAGGCCATCATGGACAAAATGGGATGGTCGTGAGACAACGCGCGGGGGGGGCCCTGGATAGGCAAATGGCTCCAGGGGACCACCCCCTAAATGATGCCCGGTAGCGGTAACTCTCCTCAGCCTCGGTGTGTAGTGGATGCGGTCTGTTTTCCCCAGTAGGCAGGCAAAATCCGAAATGATTTATACATATACATTTTTAATATTGTAAAAATTTGCCATTGAAACACGGTATGTCGACTTTGTATGTCCTGTGTAAAATCTAAAACACACAAAAGTACTGGCAAGATTCTCACTGTGTCTCTTTTGAAGGCTGGTGGGGTATAAACACGAGAAATCTTTTTGAGCAGTAAAGGGTCAACGGTTTGAAAGTATGTAGCGAAATAAATGGCGAGCCACTGAGAGCGATCCAACTTTCCATCAAAGGTCTTGATGGGTCTCACCTGCCAGAGCGTCCTGAGCCTCAAAGAAGGTACTGAGTCCACCTTTGACATAGGCCAGACTCCCCTCATTCTTCTTGTTGGCCTGCTTCTTCAGATTGCTGGCAGCCAGCTTCAACTGCTCAAAACTAAGAAACAACAAAGAAAAGGTGTTTTGTTTTGTCTTTGATTCACCCTCATGTCTTTGTGTTATCGGTTAACTGAGAGTACGGTACATACAAATGTTTACATTATTTTTGCACTTGGTCATGAAAAAAGAAAAATAATGAAAATGTTACTGAAAACACTGCCTGTACAAAATAATGTTAATGTAGGTGTTATGACGGTGACATTTTTAAAATTGTAACACTGTTGTTTTGTTTTTTTAGGGGTGGGGGGCATTGTTGATGAGGATTGGTCGTTAGATACTCGGTTCAATGATACCGGACCGAACCAGACTGACTTTTAGGGGTGGGGGGCATTGTTGATGAGGATTGGTCATTAGATACTGGGTTCAATGATACCTGACCGAACCGAATTTTTAAAAATTTTTTTAGCTTAGAAGGCTAAACAGAAAATAATTACTTTTTCTTTTGAACATAAGATTCTGAGTGGGGAAGGGGCGTGTGGAGTGCTCCGCTCTCCCGGGTGGTTCTCATCGCTCAGCCAAGATTAAAAATCAATCAATCAATCAATCATACCTAGAGCCTGCGTGGTTTTCAATGAGATACCAGGTGGCAGAGAAGTTTTCACTGGTGAAATCGCCACTCATCCCCGGAAATGTCACCTCAATGTCTTTCAGCGGGAAATTTCCCCTATAGGAAGCGAGACAAAAACGTGCTTAAAAGTAGAAAAGCAAAACAGGGAAACATTTCAACATTTGACTCATTATCGTATTTTACAGTCACAGGGAAGTTGGGAGTTTATCCAAGCAGACGATGGTGTGATATGGTTACATTGGACCGAGTGTGAGGTCACAACACAAGTTATAAGAAACAATTGATACGCCTTTTCTGATACGCCCCCCCGCTACATGTTGAATTGATGTTCAACACGTAGAAATTAACAAAAACAAATTCAATGTCAACAAAGACAAAAATCCTGGATCTGAAATATTACCCACGCAAGACACAATGTCATAAATACCTTTTATTCAATACCGGGGGGAACTTTCCAAGTGTAACCAAGAAACTAGATTTGTGTGACTGTCACCAGGGGGCAGTGTGCTGCCAAAAAAGGACTCCAGGTTGGCGTGGGAAGCCAAGTGTGTGATGCCTGGCTGCTCCAGGAGGAACTGGCACTTCATTAGCCAAGCTTGGTCTCGACTAATGAGCCAAATCAGACACCATTCTATCCAAACTACATCACCCCCCCAACGTGCGTTCACATGCATACGCAGAAGGATGCTTGCACAGTGAGGTCAAGAAAAAAAAGTCATGACATTATTGATGTTTGTGATACATGTTGAATTGATGTTAAACACGGAGAAATTAACAAAAACAAATGCCATGTCAACAAAGACAAAAATCCTGGATGTGAAATATTACCCACGCAAGACACAATGTCATGAATACTTTTTATTCAATACCGGGGGAACTTTCCAAGTGTAACCAAGAAACTAGATTTGTGTGACTGTCACCAGGGGGCAGTGTGCTGCCAAAAAAGGACTCCAGGTTGGCGTGGGAAGCCAAGTGTGTGATGCCTGGCTGCTCCAGGAGGAACTGGCACTTCATTAGCCAAGCTTGGTCTCGACTAATGAGCCAAATCAGACACCATTCTATCCAAACTACATCACCCCCCCAACGTGCGTTCACATGCATACGCAGAAGGATGCTTGCACAGTGAGGTCAAGAAAAAAAAGTCATGACATTATTGATGTTTGTGATCGATGGTATTTTTTTCATCAAGATTTTGGGTTTCTTACTTTCGAAATCAGAATCATGACACAAAAGGATCCTGGACCCCCAAAAACTGGGCACTGTGTTTCTAGCAGCAAGTTTGCGGCGACTCCCTCTGTGTGTTGGATCATTTGGCCCCATTTACAACGCAACCGTGCGGCATACTGAGTTGTACCGAATCGTAACGCTTGGTGGAAAATAATTTTTCACTTAACGGTGATGCGTTTATGGCAACGGGATCATATGCAACGTGTGCGCGCGCTGGTCCGTACTTGTCAATCTCGATACCCAACGGATTGTTGGGTCGGAGCGAGAGAGGTGAGAGGCCTTTGTTGCGGTCAGTCCTCATGTCGTAGTAGTTGAATTCGTCCACCCACACGGCCGACTGCTCCAAAATACCTGCGAGCGGGAAGAGCGAAATGATCTCCGCGACACCATCTCAAAATTGTCATCAGTCAAATGAGGTGCGCGGGTGATGATGTGCCGTGATTTTTCGCGCAATAAAATGGGCCGGCATGGGAGAAGACTTTTTCAAAGAAACATACAGCTCAATTGATTCATCCAAAGCGACCGATACGCGCAATGAGTGAGTTAGAAAGTGAGTTCAATTCAATTAATGAATGGGAAAAGAAGCTTTTTTTTTGCCCTCGTTCTTACCAAATTGGGCAAATTGGGAGAGTCGCATTTACTTAAAATATGCCGCTTATTTCCGCAGTGGACGGTGGAACATTTGGTCAAGGATAATTCAGAATGATGATTTTTTTTTTTTCTCCTCTCACTTCGGTTACTGTGATGAAACGACCAAACTGATCCAACAACCCCGACCGGTGCCCTCAAACTCACTGAAAATAATTCTCGATCACAGTCAATTTTTTTTTAGCTTTCTATGCCTCATAGCCGGTCTGCGGTGCGGTTACGGATCCTCTTAGCTGATGCCTTAACTGAGTTGCTGTCTTACCAATCCTCTCCGGCTTGAGCAGTTTGAATGAAACCGTGGAGGTCCCGAGACCTCCGGACTTGGTTGTGACAATGATCTCTCCCTTGTCATCTTTTGCTGGGCCCACACGACACACTATCTTGCTGGCCGACATCCACTCTGCTGTCAGCAGGCAGTTATGGCCGCAGATTGACAGACCTAAATCAAACAAGGAGAGAGGAAAGGTGAAATGGGTTGCCGAAACCTAAAATGCAAAGACGACACGGTTTGTCATGTCGTCGGAAATACATTACCAATGAGATCAGCTGAGCCCGTGCCCAGGTTTTCACCACGGATTGTCACTTTGGTCCAGGCTGCACCCTCCTTGGGTGAGATGCCTGTGACGAGCGGGGGAGGACGGCCACGGGACATGTTGCTCTAGGCCAGGTGCACGGGGGCTGATCAAAACCTGGAGGAAGAACCAGAATCATCAAGAATCACATAGTCTAAACTATATGGAAAGATGTTCAAAGAAACGCAGCGATCAATGGAACATTCCACACAGCTGTAATGAATAATTCTTCTAATTGCAGACTTGAAAATATATTCAATCATTTTATGAAAAATTGGATATACATATCTATATTATTCATAGACCAGTGAGTAATTTGCACCGTTATGAAAGAAAAAAAAAAATCCAAAATATAAGTAATCCCAAAGCAATATGACCGATTGGAATAAAATGGCCCTGGCTTCCAAAGAAAGCAAGAGTTATCTCGAAGACAGTCGAAAGTAGAGTGAGGAGCCAGGAATGGCAGAGCGGAGAGCAGCGGAGGGAAAGAATGTAAACCTCATAGAAACGAATAAATAAACCCGGCCTCAACAATCATTCCGCATAAACTCATGCAAGACAGTCAAGCCTTGGCAGGAGCAACCACGCACATCAGCTTAGGATCGAGTCACCGCAAGGGGAAGCGACTGCTTTTGTTTTTTGTTTTTTCTCAAATCAATTATAACCAGCTCACGTCAAGGTTGATCAATCCGGACTCTCTTTTCACTAATTATGGAGATCTGATTTACAGCCTATCGCGCATTTCATACACAGCGTGCGTCACATCGTTAAAAAAAAAGTTACTAAGGAATTTAGGAACTAAAGAATATTTAAAAATTTTAAAATACCTACAAGCTAAGCAAAAAAAAAAAAAAAAGTAGCTTGCTAAAAAAGATTTTGGAAAACTGGATGCTTTAAAAGAGTCACGGGTATGGTTTACAAAGAAAATGGATTCATTTCCTGGTTTGTTCCACAACATGTCGGAAAATGTAAAGACGAGATTTTGATTCCACACAAAGTTTCTTTTCATGAGTTCAGCCTCATCGACTCGCTCGGGCCTTTTGCTTGTCAGGGTAAATCGGGGCGCTGGGGATCAGATGATAAGAAGTTGAAAATCGTGGCGCTTACAGGTGAAATGGCGACAGGTCAACCAAGACCACTCTCTCGCATTTTAAGGTGTAAGAAACGGATTCTTAATGCTATGGAACATTTCTCCAGGAAGCACACGTGCACGGACACCCAATCGGCAGGACTGACAGCTCGGCGACGGAGCGCGAGAGGGGCCGCAGTCCTCAAATTGGGAATGTGCCGTCTGTTTCCGGCGGTATGGGGACGCATCCGCACATGCGTCGAGGCGGCGTGCATATGCATAGTATACAGCGTGTGTGCGTGCATGCGTGTGTGTGGTCCGAGTGTGTGGTCTCCGGCATAGGCCCAGCGAGAGCCCGCTGACGGGCGGGATGAGAAAAGAGCCGCTGTGTTTACTTTACTCCAGAGGCTGTGCATGAACACGGGAACACTGCCCAGACCCCTCTCCGTAACACTAGGTTGGGTCCACATGATCAGAGCTACACACAAACACACGCACTCAAAACACAAGTGAAACGACAGAGCTGAATGCAAGGCAGTCGAAAATTTGGGTGCCCGTACACCTCACTTTTGTGCCCGTGCACCGAAGAAAAAAAAAGTTGGGTGCACCGGGGCAAAAAGGTCATCTTGACCCCGGGATCATGTTAAATGGTTGAATATTTAAAGTGATAGGCATTAAAGATCATGTTTACATCAGTGTTTTGAATAAAGGGACATAGAGAGTATTAAACAAAATAATAATAATAATAATAATAATCCTGAAAAAAAATAACGTTTCAAAGCTTGTACTCTGCAAGTGACTGGGTGGTTCCAGTACTTCTGGAGAGTCTAGCGTGACAAGGAAAGACAACAAAGCGCCCACGTGAACCTCTGTTTCACTATTCTGTATCCCGACCTGATGTCCGCTATCGCCAAGAGTGCTGGTCTATTTATTTGTAAGCCTCCAGTCCCCCGCCTCCATTTCCAAAACGAAAATCCTAAAACAACAAACAGAAACATGTAATGTGGAGCACCAAATATAGAAACTTGTTTTTGAGGCTTAAGAGACCGGAGACGGTCGGCTCTGTCGGGTGACACAACCAAATGAGAAATGCGAACCTTTCTTAGCCCCCACTTGTGCCACTTCACATCGAAACAAGTTTAAAATGTGAGAACCATTTGCCGTGAAATTACATTGTCAATTACAAGCACTGCAACTCTATCGAAACGTATTGTACTTCTTCAATGATGCTAATTGATTTGATATGAATATGCATAGATATTTGGATTGGTGTATTGAGTCGACATACAAGGAAGCTGAGTAAGGCCACTTTTAAACGCCGCTAAAATTAATCACAACTGCTGATGATGTCTGTTGTTATCAATTTCCAATATCATCTTCCAAATCTGAACGGCGGAAGTGAGGTCCCGATTCGCATCAGATTTTTACATGCCAGAAAATTGATGACGCACATCAAGCAACAACAGGTGACAATCAAATGATCACTGATGATCTCCGCAGACAGGAGTGCGTCTGCCAAACAGGCAAAAGTGTCACACGGTTAACTTTTGTGCATTTTAAGACGTTTTAGCTGTAAAAACCTGTCGCTGTAAAAACAATATCATGCTGATTCTTTTGAGCTCCAACGGTCAGGGCCGCTGGTTGTGATCTTCCACGGCCCATTTCCCAGTGCTTGGGAACCTCTCTCGTTCTAAAGAGGTCCGGCTGGGTCAAGAAATCACGCAGTGAAAACCAGCGGCCTGGCACTCCTGTCAACAGGGAAGAAACTACCAGGTGGGGATTACTGACAGGAGCAGTCCGGGCTGAGAGAAAAGTGGCACTTTGCAAACAAGGCTCAGCCTGACACAGCAACGGCGTTGAGAAAAACGTTGCAAAAAGCCAACCCGCTACATTTATCCAAAACAAACAAGCAGGGCCACCCAAATTTTTCAATTAGAGCCATGGGAGGGAGGCAGGAAATGGGACATGTTCAAACCCCCTCCCCCAACATGCACACATTCGCTTTCTCTCTCTCTCTCTCACACACACACACACGCTGATAAATAGGGCTGACACACACACACACACACACACACGCTGATAAATAGGGCTTATATGGAAACATAATAACCTCAATCATGTAGATGGATATTGAAATGATGAATAAACAAATCATTGATTCTGAAACTTAGCATTGATTCAGCCACCAAAATTCTACGTTAAATATAGGGCAACTTAAAAGAACACTCAGAAAATAAACGAGCAAGAAATAAAACAAGAATGTTTTGCTATATCATCAATTTAAAAAAATTAATCCCAGCTGGTGCTGCTGTGCGCGCCTTGGCCGGGCAAAATGGTGGGTGCGGTGCATGCAGACACACGCTAACATGATGATAAACAGATGACAAGAAGACAGTTGAGATTTAAATTGATCAAGGTAAATTGTTTTTCAGACTAGGGAGAAAAAAATGGTTCTATAACCAGACCGTGTGTGTTATTACTGCGTTTGTGTGCGAATGAATACTCGTTATTCTCTGCACTGCTTCTGCGCTGGATGAGGGCATTCATTGTCAAAAATGATGTCAAAAAGCAAACGGCTTCACTCCATCTCCCCCAGAACCCGGAGCACTAATATGTAAAAACGCAAAACTGGTAGTGGTCGTCGATGGTTACAGGCGGAGATTGAGGAGCATCTGCGTTGTTGACATGCATCACTACTAAATCTATGTCCGGGATCGAATTCGTCTCAACGCGGAAAAAGCTATCATTATCTGGTATTCGTGTTTCGTGTCCCCTTCAATCCGACGAAAGCGATTATCTGTCACGTGAGATTCCAATAACGGCACTGTATTTTAACATTAAACAAGAGGTACTGAACTTACTTTCAGGATCGCTGCAGAGCTGCCGCTACCATTTCCTGTAGCCTGGGATCCTGCCGGATATCCGTTCTTAGGCAGAGCTTTCAAAATAAAGTTATGTGAAATTAAAATAACTCGGCGTGACGTTTACTTTCTAGTTGTGTAGAGGCAAAGTCATGGCAATGTTGAGGAAAATTAATAGCGTGGAAAAAAATGACAAAGACTGACGGGCATATTTTGTAAAGTGAAAACCAAAGTCACATTTACATTTTGTATTCGTTTTACTTTCTTATGCTCCTGGTACTACTTCCTCTACATACACGACGTTAACCGATAAATAAATAAATATACAGTCAGTCGAATAAATCGCATAAAAAATAAGGTCGATGGTTCGTGGATATTCAAACTGTTCAAGAGTCAGGCAACTTTTCTGATCAAATGATCATTCGCTCACATTCAATTGCTCCTCTCCGTTAACGCTAATAACCTGACACACTTGGACTAAAACACAAAGTCAGTCATTCCCTAATTTAAAACATGCTGAGGCCCGGTTTGAAAGCTGAGAATCTGAAATCACCTCAATTCATATGACTTGAATCAATAATTCCCAACCTGAATAAATGTATGTGAACGCCGGGATGTAAAAATGCAAATTAATAATCAGTCCACTTCACTCTCTCGGTCGATCATGAAAACATGTCAACATAAATAAGATTGTTTTTGCAGTTTTAAGACTTTACGATTACAAAGAGCTAACACCTGTGAATAATTCTCATTTATCCGAGTCATGTAATTTGTGTCGACTGTTGATGTTTAATTATCTGTCTCATCAACAGGGTTGGGAGGGTTACTTTTAAAATGTGCATTGTTCCCTTATTTATCACGGGGGATACATTCCAAAAATTACCCGCAGTTGTCGAACTCCGCGACGTGCAGGTTGGTTTTTTTTTTTTTTTTTTGTATGTGTGTGTGAGTGACAGTTGTGAGGGATGTACGCCTCTATTAAGCCACAATGAAACTCCCACACATGGTTCCAACCCCTCAAAACACCTGTTACACTGTTAAACTCTGAAGCCTAAACAGCCTACCGAGCTGCTGATGATAGGCTGCATTCACAAATTACTGTGAGCAGAGCACGCTCTGCACCCCGGCAACAGGCAAGGACGTTAAAGTTTTTCATTTGACCTTAAAATGGTTTACCTTTAATGAGAATACCGCGTCGCATTGTAGCCAAAAGTACAATCTCGTTTTTGGCTAACCTGTATGTGATCTTCTTACTTTCACCGATTCATTCGTCCATTCATTCATTCATTCATTCATTCATTCATTCACCCATCCCAGGGATCCAATGATATACACTCTGAAATGGCGCGGTATCCGGCTTCCAAGGTGTTGCATTATCATACGTCATTGTGGTCATCCGAAAGAGAGTTCCCTCAACGTTTACTTGAAAGGAATCACCAAACGAAGGTCGCATTCACACTTGTCATGCGTACGGCCGCTTTGAAGAGCTGTTGTTTCTCTTCAGCGAGCGCCTCGCCTCTTTCGGCAATTCTCCTTTCACGGTGCATCAGTGAGGTATTTCCACATGTTCTGGGAAACGCGCAGCATCACTGCAAATGCATACGAGACCACCCAAGCACACACACAACGCTGATAGCATGACATTTATCTCAGCAAATTGTGCAGGGCAGAGCGAATTTCGATAAGGTAGGGCCCACTCCCCTGGGCGGCCATGCTGTCCAATTAGACAGGCTGATCTGAAATGAGTTTGCTCAAACTGTCACCCGGGAGTTTGGACAGATGTTGCTGCTATTAAGATGCTGTTTGTCTACATAAACAAGCACTTAGAGCGACGAAGCTTGACCATTTGATCAAAGTCTGACCAATCAGCGACAATAATAATACAGTCGAACGTCATTACAACGTACCCTGAGGGACATAATGCATGTACGTTATGCCGGTCGCTCTTCTTTGGAACCATTTCTAACAAAATGGCCGCCAACTACGATGTATAATACAGGATGAACATTTAGAGATGTAAAAATATGAACGTGTAATCCAGTGTAAACACGTCAATTACAAATGCATGTTCAGGAAGAAAAAAAATGGATAATCTTGGAAAAATCCTCCACCATTTGCCTCAACACATTGAACAGAAAGCTGCTGAACAATATAAACAATATATGATTGCTTTCTTAATGAACTGGCTTTAGTGCATTTCAAAAAACGGACGGATTTTAAAGTGGCCCTCTCATCCTTCCATTTTTCTGTATGCGGCCCTCCAACGAAAAAGTTTGGACACCACTGACCTAACTAAACATCAGTGGACAACATTTTCTGTAACACGCGTTTTCCTATTCGAGACACGCGCGCGAGCGCACACACAAATTCAAATGCCTCTCCTAATATATTGAAATCATTGTCACATTTATAATGGGAACGCATGGCGAGTGTAAAAACGGAAGGCGCTTTTTGAACAGGTGTCCGAGGTGTGCGCCCGTAGCGGGACATCGATGGCGGCTCGATCCTTCGTCTGACCCCGCAATGCTCCGTAATGCACATCCCGTAACGCCACATGCTCCGCTGGCACCGTTGCTCATCCCTGAACCCTATTGTTCATTGTTTGTCTTCTGCACTTTTTTTTCCCATGGGCCCCCGGCCAGTGGGAGGAAAAGGTCACTGTAAATATTGCACTGAAATCCTCCCGCCCTCCCTCCCATCGAGCTCCTGAAGATGGAACAGGCGACCAGTGGGTGAGCACTTCCTTCCTGCGCAGGGCATTTCGACTACCGGACATCAAACGAGTACGAATCCCTCAATGTCAAAGATCATTGTGGTGAGATCATATGCTCAGTGTTGACATTACAATAACCTGGGCAGGTCTCTTGTTCTCTGGGAGCCTTTTTGGATAAGCACAATAAGCGTAAGTAGCTCGAACGAGTTTGGATTTCGCCTTTTTCTTTTCTTTTTTTTTGACTCATTAAATGGATTGAACTCATACAGTTTTCTCATAAGACTTTTTTTTTTTCCTGGACTTTCAATGGTAGTCGTTTTGGCAACATCAATTGGGCCCATCTATCGCTTATTCTGTTCAGACTTGCATCGGGGATTCGTGAGTAATGGCTTCACAATTAACATTCCGGCTTTATCCCAAAACACTACGCTCAACATCCCGCAACGAGTGAAAGAAAATATGTTTGACATTTTTGCAAGGTAAGGGAAAAGTTATTTGGACCTCACAGGACAAAGTTGGGGGACCCCTGCCCGAAGGTCACAATTGACAACGCATTCGTCGGAGCTGAGCCGGGAGCTAACGGGGTTCTCAATAAACAAAACGAAAACGAAATGTCGGGGCACAAACCAAGCGAGCGATTTGAGGCACAAACCCGGGTAAGGCTAATGACACACGAAGAAGGTTGGCACCACCTGTACTCTCCCTTGAGCGCCGCAGCGTGGCAATGGCAAACTGTAGCTAATGTGGTACATCGCAGGCAAGAGCTGACAAGAAGAGAGAAAGAGGGGGCTGGTAGAGATGATAGCAAACCCACAGTCATCAAACGGTAATTAAAAAAAAAGGGGGCAGGGGAAGAAGACTGAAAGAAAAGGAAAAACAAACACACATACATTTCTATTTCTATTCTGGTTTAAGTTGTGTTAAAAAAAAAAAAAAAAAAAAAAAACAGATTCCAAATCTCATTTCCAGTTTGTGAATTGTGGCAGGAATGCAAAACTGGAGAAATAAATGTGAAAATGTGCAGCGCCGCATATCACCCTAATCGATTAATAAATATACAAGCTGTGTAATTTTGGAGAACTGATACTGGTTTGCTATTATGACAAGATGGAAGAACCCCGAAGCTCTGAAAAGGGCTGCATGTGAAAGGATAGAAAGGGGCATTTTCTCAAATATGTTGAGGCCTTTACCACCCAGGTTAAGATAACATGTTCGATGGCCTCTCATAACACCATTCCTTTTCCCCCTTCGGGCCAGACAACAGGCTACTGTGTATCAGGGGGGGGGACAGACCCTCTTCACGGTGGAGAAAACACTCTGGGAAAAGTCTTTGAAAGATTCACAAGGATGGCAGCAAATTATATGCACGCACGCGCGCGCGCACACACACACAAACATACTTAAACATGCTTGTCACTGTCATTTTCTGCACTGAAAGTTGTATCGGATGAAGTAACATCGATCATGCGTCTTGTGATTTTGAACTTGAAAATATTTGAAATAGGCCGAGTTAGCCACATCTATTTTTCTTGTGTCCACACTACAATCGAGATGAAAAGTCACATCTGGAAGCTGTGCATATATTTCGAGGCCAACGTTGGTTGATCTCGTCAAGTGGAAGGACTTTCCTTACGAGCCAGAAGGGGGCGCCCAAGATTGTCATTCGCGAGCTCGCCCCGCCACATCGAATGAGCAGGAACAAGCAGCAGTCCAAAATCAAATCTCCATGGGATTTTTCACTAACGTTGCGTTTCAAACTGAAGTGGGAAGATCCAAAGTGTCTGATGGCGGGATATGGGCAGGCATATTTCAATTACCTTACAGCATGAGACCGAAGAAAAGCGTTCCTCTCAAGTAAAACCAATGACACTCTTAAATAGCTCCCAAAAATGGTCTTTCCTGTTCCATACTCTGATCATATTTCTCCAGGTCCTCCATCGACCTCACACATGCTTGCTTGATAAAGGGACAACACCACATTTGTTTCGCAAGAACTGATCATTATTGTCTCTTGAAGGTATTAGCAGTCATGTGTACAAATAGGATGCTTCGTTTAATTGAGTTGCTTTTGTTTTAAAGTGAGGCAGGGCTTTAGTTTTGGATGAATATTGAGTTGCTTTTGTTTTAAAGTGAGGCAGGGCTTGAGTTTTGGATGAATGTTTTTTCCTATTTTGTCATGTTGTGCCTTGTCCTCGCCGTTCCTCTGCTGCGGCATTCGTTTTTCCCTTTCAAGCAAAAAATGTTCTTTCAGGTTATCTACTAAACATGGCATTCTGATGAATATCGCATTTGTGGAATATGAATGAGGCCGCAAAATCCACACGTTTGGATGCATTTCAGGGCGTGGCCATTTTGTC